CAAATAAAAAAAAATAAAAAAACTATACACCACACAAAAAAATTAAATTTTAAAAATAAAAAAAAGATAGGAATAAAACAGAAAAAAGTTTAAATTTTTGAAAAAAAAACTAGCATTTCTTTCTCCGGCAGGGAACAAGAAGAGGAGGTTGGAAATCTGGTGTGTTGGAAAAAGGAGTTGGATGAAGGGTGAGACCTTGAGAATCTTCTAGAACGCAGGAAAGTTACAGAAGTGCGTTACAGGGTGCAGATAAGGATATTAGGTGGTTAACTGTAAACAGACACCCAAAAGCTACTTAGGGCCTACATTTTGAAAAATGTTTGGAGGCTATGGCGCTCAAATCGGTAAGAAAGTCGGTAAACAGCCACTATTGTATCCATAAAATCATCAATACTGCCCCAGCAGGGATTGAATTGACAGCGAAGCCTTGAGCAGTCTTCACCCTTTACTTGAAATGTATCAAAACACATTCTTGCTGAAATTTAAACATGGTGGGAAAGAGTCCCAGTTTTGAATTTTACAGAACCTCACAACCGTAGATGATCCAAACATTCCACCCATTTTCCCTTCCTTCGGCTATGCTCTGTGTCCGGCTTTCAGATGAAGAGAACGATCCCGTGGTCTCAGTGGGCCCTCAGCTTGCACTAGAAGCACACCTGACACTTTGTATCGCACTCTCCAGGGACTGCAACCAAAAACAATAATATGAAATGCTGGGGTGGTTCAGACGCCCCCGTAGCTTGAGGTGCTTACACAGAATGGAGTGGATTCCCCGTGGCCAGTGGGGATGAGGGCAAATTCCAGGAGGATTTACACAACGTGAGTCAGAGGGCTGACTCTCCTGTCTATGTAATGAGATATACTCTGCACTGTGGCTATTTGGAGAAACATACAATTATTAGGGAATCCCAAATTCTCAAAGCGTGCCATTATGAGCACTCCAAGCCAGCTTGAAACCACTGCTTTGCACTTGGGTGAATTTCAAACAGATCTTTTAAAAACAAACCAAAACAAAACGAAACTACTTTCACCAGCAACGTAACCTGAAACTGCGGCTAGATTTGAATCAACCAGGCTGTAAATGCATCAACCATATAAACTAGATTATGGAGATTAATGGCGAGTTTTTGGGGATACTTAGCACTACATTGTCCTTCTAAGGAGATGCCTTTAAAAATGCCTCCACAGAAACCTACTTGATTTCTTTTCCATCTCAGCACACTTTTCCCTCTTAAAATGAGACAGACAGAGAGAGATTTCTCCACTCAGTAAAAGAGATGGCGCTATGCTTCCAATCCAATGCTACATTCCTTCTAAGCTTCCTTTTGGGTAGTTTACAAGAATGAGGTGGTAATGGCATAAAGTAATCTTAACTGATTCCTAACATACACGGTTATGGCAAAATGTCGATTCTATGTCCAACCACTGAAGTCCACATGCAATTTGAGAATCCAGAATACACGGAGACAGTTGGTGGTTACCAACATACTTCTCATCTGCCTTCATCTGGGCACCATTAAATTCTCCTTGGAGATTGCTCATCCATGCAGTCCCACATCTATGCTAAACCTAGCTTACTTTAAGCTAAGAATGTAAAATCCTTTGGGAGTTTCAGATTTGTGAATGTTAGCCACTATCTATAAAAATGGGTAAAGAAAAAAATTTCTTCTGTGGGGCACAGGGAACTATATTCAATGCCTTGTCATAATCTTTAATGAAAAAGATACTGAAAAAGAATGTATGCATGTATACACATGACTGGGACACTGTCCTGTACACCAGAAACGGACACATTGTAACTGACTGTACTTCAGTTAAAAATCAATCAATAAAAATAAATAAATAGCAACACAAATATAAAGTTAAAAAAAAGAATTTAAAATCCTTGCAAATAAAAATTAAAATTAAAATTAAATAAAATCCTTGCAAAATTTAATTTGTGAAAGCCACCAACGTAACCTGTTAGAAGTCATCTATTTGTAAGAACGAATCTTCAGCCTGCAGAGATTTTTTTCTTTCCCTCCAGCAGTGGGTCAGAGGGACAGAATCCAAGCCTGCCCCACTGTCTGGGCTGTCCCAAGGGACAAAACTAGTCACCAGTTGATCAGTTACCATCTCTGGACCACTTGGCACTTTTCTTGTCATTTCACTATGGAATCTTCTCTCTAAAGGATGCCTTTCAAGCAAGCCGCCTCTTTCTACTGACACCGAGCACATTTAGTTATTATCTCGTAAACACGTTGATTAAAACACACCTTGGTGAAAATGAACTTCTAGGTAATGACAATTGTAAGTGCAGTCACTGACAGCTGACCCTGCCACAGACAGGCGGAACAGGGACCATCACCTCGACTTCCCACTTAGGCACACCGATGCTCCGAGGTCAAGTCCCGCGACGCGTAAGCTGTTCGGCAGAGTCGGACGTAAGTCTGGCTTGATTTCAAAGACCGCTCTCTCTTCACATCACCAAGCTCCCTCCCCAACCCAACATAACAGTAACTGTTATCACAAGAAACCTGTCTACGGTGGGTCAGCCTTTCACACATTATTTTATACGCAGACTCTTTGTGTCATAATGAGCACAAACGGTAACATTACGTCCAGTAGTCGAAATGACAAAGTCAGGGAGGTGTCGGCGGACCTGCCCAAGATCACGGAGCCGGGATGGGTGCAGTGGGACTCAAAGAGGGGAGTTTGTCTTCCATCGACACCGCGACATTATCGCAGGTGCAGGAGTTCACGTCATGTCTCTTGCCCGCCCTCAGTCCCCACTCTGTGAGGGATCTGCATCCCAAACAGGTTTCATCAGCAACACAGAAAGGTTACTTGGTATCAGTCGCAAAGACAGCCTCAGCGAGCGATGCACCGAGCAAACGCTGACGCAGTATTAGCTATGCTCACCCTGTACGAATAATGTCACAACTTAGAAACTGGCTCTGTTTCACTTGATCGGAGATCGTATCTTGGCTTGCAGCCACAGGCAAGCGTTAAATTCACAATCGCAACGTGAACGCTGCAGGTGCGTGTCAGGAAAGGCCCTACCAAAACGAGCGAGTCATGTCTGACGGACCGTGCCTTGTCTTCCCTTGTACGATGGTCAAGAAAAATGTTATTTGACTTAGGATTTTGGGTGTGAGTTTTTGTCTGTTTCTTGGCTTGCTTGATTCTGCTGAGATGGTTTTTAGGGGGCAAAAGTGAGATGGAAATATTAAGGAATTAGTACTGGCATGAGTTTCATTTATTTTCAAATCGGGTGCCCCTAAAATCTGATGGAACAAAATATTCACATCCTCTAGTGTTTTACTCACCTGGCAGGAATATGGCCACCCACCCCGCCTGCCGTCTTCACCGTCTTTAGCTCCGTTACTGGGCCCGGCTAAGTATGATCAACACAGATTGGACTATGTTTCCTGTGCAAGGGGAAATTCATTCCAAATATTTTTGTAACTTCTTCTCAAAGGATAGCCCTTCGTGTGTCAGTTCACAGCCTAACATCCTCTCAGACTGCTTTTTGTATCAAAAATCTCCAAACACCCCAAAGAGCCAGAAAAAAGGCAGTGCCCCCCCCTTTTTTTTTAACACGGTGAGATTTTGGTGTTAACTATTGATATCAAGGTGGAATGCTGATTGTGGACGTTCCTATATTCAAATAATCGCTCTTTCATTTTTCTCATCTGTTTTCTGCTATAGGGTTCCGTGGGGGGCCAGCCATGAGGTCGTAAGCTTTACTTCTTGTATTTGAAACTACCATCCTAAGACAGAGATATGTGGCTAAGATATTTCAGAGATGAAAGAATCAATTTCCTGGATGAAAACACGGATGGGTGGTTCTACGAAAGTTCGGTTGCAACAACCACGCAGGTAAATAGGACATCAAGTAGCCGATTACTTTGAAATGAGTAAGAAATTACGCTTTATAATTTGCTTTCATGCAAAACTATACGCCACCATATACAGATCACTTGTAAAGACTTCCACGCTCCCTAATAAGCTACTGATTCGTCTGTAAAAGCTTCCTTTAAACAGGAGGATCACTCACGTGTGATGCTTGACATCAACCGGTCAAGGCAAACCCAACATTTACAAATCACAGACATATGAGCAAACGTCACCATAAAAACCTGACGCCACGTGATCGGCATTTTAGCACACGGAGAATACGTGAGTCAAGGCGCACAGACCTTTGGCGGACGATCAGACGCAGACGCAGACGCCGAGCTGGTCTATGCCATGCTACGACAGCGCGTCCAGTAAGACTCGCCACAGAATTTCATCTTCACAGCTGAAGACCTGGGGCTTCGTAGAGACGTTGACAGCCATTCCCATTCGCCCTGGGGAGCAGGTCACAAAGACACCTGGAACATAAGGGAACAGGATAGAAAATACTTTCATAAAAGATGCTGCCGACGTCGCTCTGACTTAAAGTTGGTTCGAGCGTGATTTTAGTCCCTTGTCCCTAAAAAATGTACAATAAACACTGTCTGGAAATCCTAGGTTATTTCATTCCAGGAATATCTGTTGAGCACAGGCTTTGAATGGGGAAGGAGGACAGGAAAAGGGATTCCAAAGAGGAACGTGGCCCTCAAGGGACGTGCGGTCTCCTGGCGGGGCGGGGGGCAGGGGTGCATCGTTAAAGCAAGTGTTCAGAGAGAATTGCAAGAGCATGTGCATCAGCGATCAAGGAACAGAGCGCCGTGGGCAGAAGATGTAACAGCTCTGGGAAGCCCTCAGGAGGTGGCATTGCAGACGGCTTCGAAGGAAGACCGTATTTGTCATGGGAACCGTGAGACGGAAAGCACATCGGACTGTCCAAGGTCCTCAGGGAGTCTGTGCCAAGGTCACAGCTAAGGACTCCCAAGAATCTGACCTCACTTATCACCAACGTCTGCATCTAGTCGCACACAAACAGGAAAATATTAAACTTATTTTTAAAGCCCAAAGCTATTCCAGACACATTTAAATTAAGAAGAAAAAGAAGTTGCACCAGCCACCATGTATTAAGTTTTCCTCTGAGTCACAATGACCTGCTAACATTCTAAAAGAAAAATGGGAGGGACACGTTAAATTTTGATGGACTTTCGTGAGTGGCTTAACATAAAAATGCCCGCTCTAGGTTTTAGCAGGGTCACCGTGGATATTTCCGGATGTGTATTTAAATGTTCAAATTAACATAAACCACTTTAATTTGCACCCTAATTTCTCCAACCCAGATTTTATCTCCTTTCTCTCAAACAGAACAATCTTCCAAACTACATTCATTTTTGAAAAGATGCATATTTAATAAAACGTACGTTTCTGCCTTGGATTTACTCCCAATTTTCTGGATTGTTTAATTTTTAGCGTGATGAAAATCCAGGAGAAAAAAGAAATGAAGAGAAAAAGTTTTCTTTAGAATTTAATACGAGTAACTTAAAATACAGATAATCGATTTTACACCATCCTTCTCGTCCCAAAGCCTCCCAGAATTCTGATGAACTCCCAGGAAATTCCTTTCTTGTCCGCATTGCTAATTTTGACCCAAATATTTACAGTAAAATTAAAAAGAACCACAGCCGTCCATCCAGTGAACAGTGCAAAGAAGCAGCAATGCAACATAGGTTTATGGCTTTCACGTAAGACTTTAAATGATTAAGCTCCAGAAATCCTTAATGTTCCTAAAACGTAGCCCTCTAAATTTTCTAGCCGTGGACTAGAATGAGAAATCGGACAAAAGGTTTTCTGTGATACTGTCTTTAAAAAAAATACAGAAGAAAAATTTGTAAAAACTCTTCAGGATGTGAATACAGGCAAAGATTTTAAAACATGCACAGGCATTCAGAAATAAATCACGTCTCTCACACACACACGTACAGACAAAACGCTAAGAATGCTTTCAAGTTTGGGTGAGAACTGAGAAGGAAGGAGAAACAGCAGAGATCTGAAACAGCAGAGCAGCGTGCAGCCCACTTTAAGCGGGAAGAGGACAGGATGGTCGGTCCGGGCAGGGGCAGGGGCACGCGCTGTGCCCTCACTTGCCGAGTTGGGTCACAAAACCCAAAGGCAACTGGTACACCAGCACTGCCATCATCAGAGAATGAAAAGGGCTGGAACTGGGGGGTAGAAAAGACGCTCGTTCTGTAAAGCCAAAGAGGGGGTCACCGAAAGGAATTTGGGGGGCGTAGCCCAAGTGTAATTTGAAGCCACGCTTTGTAAAATATTTTAGGTGAAGAAGGAGTAACACAAGGTCAAAGACAGACACTAGGAAGACGCGACCGCCAGTGCTCGCTCCGTGCCTAGATGTTAAGGTCCTTTAGAAGCTCCACTGACTTATTTACGTTGCGATCGTCCCTAGAGGTTAAGAACTCTCTTCATAACCCTTATAACAAGGGAGAAAACTGAAACGTGGAAAGTCCGCACAGTTGGAAGTATCCAGCGGCCGGGGTCCTCTGGTGGAAACGGATGGTCACCAGAGGATCGCCAGGGATGCACGTCCAAGGGGGAGGAACGCGTGGGTGGAAGACGACCCTGGCCCCACGTGATGGACAAAGTATGTCTTCGAGTCAAATAATGGAAAATGCATATATAGGTGCCTGCCCTGGTTCCTGCCATGGGGCTTCTAGGTCCCCTCGAATTTCCCAGGTGATGAGAGCGCTGGGAGCATCTCTCATTATAATATTTTGACCTTGGAACCTGCTTCCTGACTCCCAAATCCCCTGGAGTGCCCTGGGTGTGTTTCGTTCTAATGAGATGACTCTGGGTGGACTCCTGAGTGGCTTCAGGGCAGAGGCTGATCACCAGAAACACCAGGCCATAGATAGATCATTGGGACTTTCGGCCTCACCACCCGCCGGCCCGCCCCACCTCACAATCCTCTAGAAAAGGGGGAGGGGCTGCAGATTGAGCTCACGACTGCTAAACCCTACATGGCGAGGCTGCCATAAAAGTCCCCGAAGCACAGAGTTCAGGGCGCCTCCAGGTTGGACAGCCACCCCCGTGCTGCGGGGTGGCTGGCACACCCCAACTTCACAAGGACAGATGCTCCCGCGCTCAGGACCCTTCCAGACCTCACCCTCTGTATCTCTTCATCTTACGGTTCATCCGTCTCCTGTATCATGTTCTTTATTGTCAAATAAACCGGAAAGCATTACAGAAGTGTTTCCCTGGCTTCTGTGAACTGTTCTGGCAGATGATGGAATCATGGGAACCTCCAATTGGTAGCCAAGCTGTGAGTAATCTGGGGGGACCTGCTGTTGGCAGTTGGCGTCTGAAGTCGGGGCAGGGGAGCAGTCTTAAGTCTGAGTCCCTAACCTGTAGAGCTGCACCAACTCGTTATTGTCAATGGGACGAATTGTAGGACACCCAGCTGGTGTCCCGGAGAATGGCTTAGCGTGGCGGGGAAAAAAAAATCCTACGTGTGTTTTCAGTAGTATGGATGAGCGCGTAAGGAGAAACACAGGAGTGTTTTTCCCAAATAATACGGGAGGGGGGAATATGAGTGTATCCCAGGTCGAAAGAAAGTGTGAGAAGAATTAAGAGAGAGCAAAAAACAAAAACAAAACACAAGTGTAGGGACTCCCAGCCACACTCGCTTTAGATGGACCAGGAAGTACCCAGACGGATGCTTGTGGGTGGTTCCGGAATAGGATGGCTGTTTTATGCAACCTATTATTTAAGATGCTACAACAGGGAATAGATTTGAAAAATAGATCAAAGAGTGTGAAAGGCTAGACAGGACGTTATGAAAAATCATTAAAAAATATATAACACATAAAGTGAAAGATGATCAAGGAAAGTGGAGGACGTACCTCAGCTGGGGAAACCGTTAAGACCTGGAAATTGATACTGCGGACAAAATGAGGACATGAGATTCAGAGAGCAAGGGGAGGGACTGTGTAGGGAAGATGCTATTCATGGGGAAACAAATGCAGAGAACAGAGCAAGCTTGGTGAGAAAGACGGTGAATCGACTTTGGACAAGTTTTTGGCAGAGAGCACAGAAGATATTTGTCCAAAAGGCAATGGAAGGGTTGGGTGGAGCTTAAGAGAGAATTCAGGGCAGAAAGTAGAGACATGTGGGTCTCCCGGGTGGAAGGGAGGCGATCCAAAGTGATGTGGGATAGTCTCGAAGCTGGAATTTAGGGAGCAACACATAACTGAAGATGCAGAAGAGCGCAAAGTGTTCATTAAAAGAACAGAAAGGCTAGAGAGGAGAGTTCTGGAATTCAAGGAAGGCTAAAGGCCCATCAGAGAGACAATGAACATGTCGGAGGCTACGGAGACAATCCAAGGAGGCAGTGGGCTCTGTTGAGGGATCGGCCGCTCCCGCGGAGAGCTGGACCACCAGTGGGGGCCGGGGGTGCTGCCCAACAGAAAGCAGAAGAGAGGGGAGAGAGTACATAAATAAATGTTTCGTATGAAGAGTTCCTTCAGGGCTTATGGGTTAGGGCCTAAATAGGTTTTTTTGGAAAGACGATGAGAATGCTTGAGAAGGTCTTGATAATGAAGATGTGAGACCCATTTCAGGAAGGAGAACAGTAACAGTAAGAGAGTAGGTGGGGTGAACAACGGATCATCTTTTGAAGTCTGTCCATTTCCTGAACATCACCGAAAAAGGAACAGGTTCCCTGTCCATCTCCCAGATCTGACAGCGTTTTATCGGACAACGCTGACCTGCCTGCTCAACTTCTGAACCTTCCCTCTCCCCGTCATTAAAGTGCCCAAAATACAACCCCAACCTCTGGGGGTTCCTTCCGTGGCTTGTTCTGTGTCCAACAGGATGCCAGGTCCTGCCACTGCCATATTCCCCGGGCCTCCGGGGAGCGGCAAAGCGGCTGCCTTTCCTCAGCCTCCACCATCACGCGATCTTAAATTACGTTGTTATTAGCCTCGTGCCGTCGCCGTGCACCGTCACTGCTCCCTGCCACGCTTGTCACCACAAAGTTGACATTCCGCAAACACCTCCTTTCTGCGCTCTCCGCTGCCCCCAGCATCATATCAACTGGCTTTCAGCTAAAATGCTCCAATTTCAATTTAATTCTCCACACGCAGCAGCGCGGACTCAGCACACGCCTTCCCTCAACACTTGCTGAGCCCCTGGACTTACTCCCTCTCCCCTTTTGAGACAAAATCCTGTCCGTCCTCTGAGCCACAGCTCACC